TCTGAAGATCAAAAGATGCTTGGAAGCCAGTCTTTGCTTGAATGATGATGAAGAATTCAGTGGATTCAAGGCCACAGTTCGTTGTGAGGATCCGAATCCGAATCTTTACACCTTTGTAGGAACGTTGGAGTTTGAGAACGAATCCTATCCTTTGAGTCCTTCTCAATTGCTTTTACGTGATTCGAAGCTTAGGAACACTGATTACATCTATGGGGTAGTGATCTTCACCGGACACGATACGAAAGCAGTACGAAACTCGACAAGGTCGCCGTCGAAACGGAGCCGAATAGAGAGGAAAATGGATCATATTATCTACATTCTCTTCTCAATACTTGTTTTGGTTTCATTGGTTTCCTCAATTGGATCTTCATTGTTCTTGAAGCATGACATGGTTGATTGGTGGTACCTTCTATTGCCAGATGGTTCGAGCTTAGATGATGATGACGATCTCTTCTTCAATCCATCGAAGCCGGTAAAATCAGCTGTTTTACAGTTCATACGGGCTCTCATATTGTATGGCTACTTGATCCCCATTTCTTTATACGTCTCCATTGAAGTTGTTAAAGTTCTACAGAAAATGCTTATTGATAAAGATATCGAACTGTACGATGACGTGACACGCAAATCTGTTCAAGCTCGAACTTCGAATTTAAACGAAGAACTTGGCCAAGTAGAAATGATACTCTCAGATAAAACCGGGACTTTGACAAGTAATCAGATGGAGTTCAGGAAATGCTCAATTGCAGGAATTTCCTATGGGGGTGACATAACTGAAGTTGACCTCGCTGCATCAACGAGGATGAATGCCAATTTGGAGCCATTCGAGTTCAGCATGGACGAGACCAATAGAGCAACCCGAAGCTTCGAGCTATTAGACTTCTCGGTATCCAGTTTTAGTGCTCAAAATGGGAATGCAAGGCTTTTGAAAACCGAGGAACCTGTTATCAAGGGCTTCAACTTCAGAGATGACTGGCTTATGAACAAGAACTGGATACGTGGACCCAACTTATCTGATATCACAATGTTCTTTAGAGTCATGGCTTTGTGTCATACAGGCATACCAATCGAAGATGATAACCGTAAAACCGATAAGCTAAGTTACGAAGCAGAATCACCCGAAGAAGTATCGTTCCTTATCGCGTCGCAAGAGTTCGGTTTCCAGTTTTTTAGAAGAACTCAATCATTGATGGTTCTTAAGGAGTTTGATCCTTCATCTATGGAGGAGGTTGAGAGGTAACATTGGGTTATTTTTAAAACATTTACTTTGTTTCCACAAGTTTCCTTCAAATTTAAGGCCAAAACTTGATATCAAAGTCATCTTCAGGGAATACAAGCTGCTAAATCTGTTAGAATTCAGCAGTTCACGTAAGAGGATGTCTGTTATAGTTAGCAATGAAGATGGTCGAATTTTTCTACTTTGCAAAGGTGCAGACAGGTATACCTCGCTCTTCGGATTACTTAAAACGAGAGCCGATCGAAACCGGGTATCTGTTGATCTCATGTGTTTCCGGTTGCTTCTGATTTTCAGCATAATCTTCGATAGACTAGCCGATAACGGAAGGACGTATGAGCAAGCAACAGCATTGCATCTTTCGAGTTATGCAGAAGATGGTCTTCGCACGCTAGCGTTTGCCTACAGAGAGCTTGAGGCAGCTGAGTATGAACGTTGGAACACAACATTTACACAAGCCAAAGCCACCATTGGTCCTGAAAGAGAAGAATTGCTAGAGCAAGCATCCCAAATGATTGAAAAGGATTTAATCTTATTAGGTGTTGTAGCTGTTGAAGACAAGTTACAAAAAGGGGTCAGTCAGTTATCTCCCTCGTCTGTCGATATTTCTACGCCTTGTCCGGTTATTTCGAGTAGCAGAGATCATAGAAAGTGCATCTAACATCACCGAAAATTTCGAACTGCTTTTATTAGAGGGTTGCAGTCTGGCATCTACTTATGTTCCATATATATTCATACATGCGCATGGAATATGATCCTTCATGCACGAAAATGCTGAAGGTCTTACTGCTCATTCCATTTATGAACATAACAGGTTCCGGAGTGCATCGATAAACTCGCCCAAGCAGGGTTGAAAATATGGCTGCTCACCGGTGACAAGAGGGAGACGGCTGTAAATATCGGGTGAGACGTATATCACAGCTCGATATCTTTCTGTGTAGATGTATATATTTGGTTGTATTTATCTCAACTATCCTTCTGCTATTGTATTTCCCGATTTGGCAGATTCGCGTGTAGCTTACTCCGGCAGGACATGATGCAATTCCATTTGAGTTTGAGCAGAGAAGCTGAGTCGAATAATGAAGTAAAGGTAAAAGTTAACTTGGAAAGGAAGTTATCTATGTCGATTGTTATATGCTTGTTTCCGATCACTTTCGGTTTTATTCGAGTCGGTAATGACAGTGGCTTCTTTTTCTAGCTTTGCAGGCAATGGAGGAAGACATTTTGCAACAAATTCAATGTTCATACAAACTGCTGTGTGAAGAAGGAAACAATGAAGCACCATATGGTCTCATTATAGACGGAAAAGCTCTTGAAATCGCTTTGAGAGGGAACATCAAGGACGAGTTCTTACAATTAGCCGTCAACTGTGCTTCTGTCATATGTTGTCGAGTGTCCCCGAAACAGAAAGCTCTGGTATGTCGATTTTGTCTTTGTTCGATATCGCTTTAGGTTTGAGCTTTAACTGAATTTAAACCAGAAATCACAGATCACTCGATTGGTAAAGCAATACACTGGCAGAACAACTCTTGCAATTGGCGATGGGGCGAACGATGTCGGTATGATTCAAGAAGCCGATATAGGAGTTGGGATCAGTGGTATGGAAGGAATGCAGGTAATGTATGATAAAATGATTTATGAATATGGATGATGAGATATAAACATGCGAAGATGTAGTTCGTCGTAAGATCAAACTAAAAGTTCCATTTTCATGGATGATCCCTTAACAGGCAGTCATGGCCAGCGACTTCTCACTACCGCAGTTTCGATTCTTGGAGAGATTGCTTATAGTTCATGGCCATTGGTGTTATCAGAGAATATCGAAGATGGTACATATTTACCTTCTCTATACATGTGTGTCTGTGTATATATTCAAGACATAATTGTATCTTCCTTTCCTGGTGAATTGTTTTAGGTTCTTTACTTTGTCTACAAGAATGTTGCATTTGGCCTCACTCTGTTCTACTATGAACTATACACAAGTTTCTCCGGAGAAGTTTTGTATAATGACTGGTACATGACGATGTTCAATGTGATGTTGACATCTTTGCCCGTCGTAGCGTTAGGTGTCCTCGAGCAGGATGTTTCGTCAGACATATGCTTGCAGGTAAACGCTAACTAAATACGTACACGGACAGTTTTCGTCTGGGAAACATTGACAGATTTTTTTCTGACAAGCTTTTATCTGGTTATTCCGAAACAGTTTCCTGCACTTTATCAGCAAGGGCCAAGGAACGTACACTTCAGCTGGAGCCGCATTATCGGGTGGATACTAAACGGTGTGGTTACTTCCCTTGTCATCTTCCTTGCAAACATTTACATACTCTCCCCGACCGCACTACAACGTAACGGATTCGTCACGGACATGAATTCCCTCGGTGCGATAACGTACACCTGTGTGATCTGGACCGTCAATTGTCAAATCGCTATAATCACCAGCCATTTCACTTGGATCCAACATCTCTCCATATGGGGAAGCATCCTGTTATGGTACATTTTCTTGCTAGTCTATGGCGCATTGCCTCCTGATCTATCGGGAAACGCATTCCAAGTCCTCATCGGAGTCATCGGACCCGCACCCTTATACTGGATGATCACAATGGTCGTCGTCGTGGTTTCTCTTCTACCTTACTTCGTACACATCACAATCCAAAGATCGTTTTATCCCATGGATGACCATGTCATCCAAGAAATGGAGAAATGCTTGAAGAAAGATGATGTGAGAGACAATGAAATGTGGGTGAGAGAGCAAAGGAACTCTCAGAGGTCCACTAGCATTGGGTTCTCAGCAAGGGTTGAAGCAAAAGTTTTGTCATTCAGTCAACAGATGCAACAGAAGAAATTGTCAATTTACAGAAGTGTGACAAACAGCCCCATATATAGATCAATAACTAGAACTCCTTTTTCATAACAATCTGTTTACTCCATTCATTGATTTCATTCAAACATTGTATATTAGGAAATTGTTCGTGTGGGTAATGCAAATAAGCAAATCCCATATCGGTTAAATACAGGCTATGTATTAGATAATGCATATTGTTATGCATTTATTATTCTTTTTCTAAGACAGATGTATAATAGAATATATAAAGACATTTATAATAAAATATATAACGCTATTTTCCCTGCTGTTCATTATGCGTGCACATGACTGGTTTTGCTCATTTCCCTGCTGATGAACTCCTTAAGTTTGCTAATGTGCACAAGAACTTGCAGGAACGACCAGTGCACCTGCGGGCGATGAGGTCAGCAGCATGGTCTATGAGGCCATATCATCACTACAGCAGCAAAAAGACACCGCCCAATTGGCCTTGGTACAGGCCAGAGGTGTTGCTCCTCCGTGTGAGGCAGAACGTATCCTTTTCACAACATGGGTTCGGGTCCACAAGCACAACTAACAGCTGTCCACTCTCATCTAAGCCCATTTTGACATGGATATGGCAGTGGACCAGGCTAGCTTAGCTTGGGTGAGCCCATGTGGTCATGCTAGCTTACTTGCTATCACTATTATAATATAGGCTTCATTTTTGTCACCATATGCTTAATTTTCCCCATGATATAATTTCTAATACAATTAGAAAAGAGAAAAAGGATGGTGGTGGCAGCGGCGACGGAGCTGAGCATCAAAATCAAACCCAAAGTTTATTACAGCAAAACATTAAAAATAACATGGCATGGGCATCTTCCAAATTAAAAATCAAACCCCTAGTCCGGTCATGCATCCTAAAGAGTTCTAATTTTAAGGAAAATTGCCTCCTTTTCTCATATGTATGTGACTAAATCATTAACTGCCTCTTCACTTCGCATAAAGCCCCCTGCCATTACAGCAACTGAAATACCCTCGTTCCTAACATTCTGTTACAGCCAAGATATGTGCCATTCTAGGCAACCAAAATCGAGCTAATCCTATGTACATATATGGATGCAAAGTTCAGAAATATCAATACCCATGGTCAGAAATCAGTATCTAATTTAATGATCTTACAGATCATGCATGTTCATATCAGTAAAGTACAATTTTTTTACAGTTTCACGAATGATTTTCGTGTTCATGCCTTTTATGGTCTTTATCTGCATAACTACCCCGACCGGTCTTTTGTCCATCTTCTATGGTGTCATGATTGTAACTCGACATGTACTCATGGCGCTTCTTCCCTTCCAACCGTCTGTCAGGTGGGCTTCCTGCCTTTCTCTTTCGGCTATTCATCATCGGAGAAGCATCGTCCAGCATTTCTCCTTCTTCAGTACCCTCGGTTTCAAATCCCCTACATGATTGCCCCTTTGTACCAAAGTTGTTCCCTTCTCCCATCTCCCCATGATCCTTAACATGGTCTTGATTCTCATTCCTAGAACAGCTCTGTTGATGCTCTCTCTTGATTTTCTCGTCTTCCACAGCTAATTTGATGCCATCCTCCAGTTCTCTCTCAATAAGATCATCTTCATCCATGACATCCCTTTTCTTCATTGTTTCTCCACGAGATTTCCTTCTTTTCTCAAGTGCAGCCTTCACCTTATCCTTGTCGATTTTAATAACTTCTTTGGGAGACTGGCCAACTGGCCCTTCTCTAGTGTCCAAGTATCGCCCAACAACACTGCCAGCCTTATCTCTCCACTCACCTGCTTCAGCAGTTACATTTCTTCCACCGGTTCTTTCCTGATCTTCTCCCCCAGTTCGTTTATTTGAGACTTCCCTGGGGTTCTCCTCCTGGTGAAAATGCTCAGGATGTTGAATATCCTTGGCTTCCATATCTATCCTCTGATCAGTAATAACACTACCCAACTCTCCACTCTCATCATCCTTCCTTTGATTTTGTGCAGTTTTTGATGGCATCCCATGATTCTCCGCAGATGAATGGTCGACTCCCGACCGTGATGAAACTTGTTTTTCCTCACTTCCAGAAGGATGTTTTGAAGGGCCTCGATGAGATGTGCCACCACCAGCACTTCCTTCTACTTCACTACCTTGAGAAGGGGGTACTCTGTTTTGCTCATAAAGTTCCAGCACTACTACATAATGAACAGTACTTAAGGCATTTTATGTATCCAACCTCTTGGATTACTACCTTCAAAAAAAGGTAACTCAATTTTAGGCCTGTGCAACATAATCTCTGAAGTATTACAAGACCCCCCTTTACCTCTTCTATCCATATACAAAGGACACAGCTGCTGGAGAAAAAAAATGTAGAATCCACGAAAGAATTGAGTTAAAGAGAAACAAAATAATAGATTACGACACAAGGAAAGAGAAGAGAACAAAATACGGAAAGTTATATCTCTGCCAGTTATTTACACATATTGGCAATATATCACCGAACGATAACAGATTAGACAAATTTTACATGCGACTAACATCAAAAAGATGAAGTTCACATACAAAGTACATACTTATGCATGGGAAATTTAGCTAGTTGGGTTTCATAAAAGGAAAATATAACTAGAAGGATCAGTTGTATGCATCTGAGGAATAACAAAATGGATGAAAATATAACTAAACAAACATGAGAGCAAATAATTTAGAAAGATTATGCAAGTGTTATAGATTGAAGAGAAATAGAGAAGAATTCGAAAGAAAGATGAGAAAATAGGAGAGAATTCAGAGAGAAGAAAGTTCATCCATTCATTTCATAACCATTTCTGTTTTTACATAGCCATTTTATTTACATACACTCATAATAGAATCTGTTATGCCAGCTGGACGTCTTTACTAACCAATTCTGTTATCATAACAAGAATTGGGCTTCATCTGGGCTTCCTGTGCTCCACCCGTATCTGCTGGACCACCGTTCTGGATATGCTGGGTGATTGTTTTAATTCCCCCCGTGCTCCTCACGTGCTCTTCCCTCAGGTAATTACTTCCCAATTCAATCTCAATCCCTAATCCTTGAATATTCATTTCCCCCAATTCTCCCAATTCTTCCTCGATACTCATCATTCGTCCTCCCTCTTCTCCCTCTCGTCTTCCCTCTCCAACCGTGGCAATACCCGCCCCATCAGAGGATCCTTGTCCCCAAGGATCAAACGACGGAAACTGCCCTCGCAATACCGAATAATCTTCCCAGGTGTCGTGCATCTCATCCAGGTTAGTCCACCGAACCAGCAACTGTGTAGTCGGTTTATTATGTCGATTAACAATCCTTCTTCCTAATATTTTGCTGGGTTCTACCCGAAACTGACCCTCATCATCAATCACAAGAGGATTTGTGGAAGTTGCTGTTTCAGGCCCAACATGCTTCTTCAATAAACTGACATGAAAGACTGGTTCAACCTCGAGGAATCTGGTAAGTCTAGTTTATAGGCTACTTCCCCAATTTTTTTAATAATCTTATAAGGCCCATAAAATCTTGCTGCTAATTTCAAATTTTTCCGCAGAGCGAGAGAAGTCTGTCGATATGGCTGCAGTTTCAGGTAAACGAAATCCCCAACTTGAAATACTCGTTCAGATATGTTTTTATCAGCTTTCTACTTCATTCTATTACTGGCTTGCTGCAATTGAAATTTCACCAATTGTCAGATGTCTTCCCTGCTACGCATTAACTCTGCTACTGCATTTACTTGAGTGTCTGTATACCAAACCATTGTAGGAGGCTTGTAGCCATAGAGAGCGTGAAAAGGTGTTAGTTTCAAGGCAGTATGGTAGGTAGAATTGTACCACCACTCAGCATGTGGCAACCATTTAGCCCATTGCTTTGGTTGGTAAAAACAAAGCCCTCTTAGGTACTGTTCTAAGCACTGGTTCACCCTCTCTGTTTATCCATCCGTTTCAGGATGGTAAGCAGTGCTAAACAGGGTCTTAGTTTCTAAGAGCTTCATTAGTTCTCTCCAAAAGAGGCTAGTGAAGGTTTTGTCTCTGTCTGAAATGGCCATTTTAGGCTGGCCATGAAGCTTATATATGTGATCTAAATATAATTTAGCCACCTCAACTGCTGAGTAAGGATGTGATAGTGCTAAAAAGTGACTATATTTAGTAAACTTGTCAACCACCACTAGAATACAATTCTTCCTTAAAGATGTAGGTAATCCTTCAACAAAGTCCATAGTGATAACTTCCCAAGCTTGCTAAGTAATAGGTAATGGCTGTAGCAGTCCAGGTTTAGCAACATGTTCCACCTTAGTTTGTTGACATACTGCACAAAGTTTGACATAATTGACCACCATAGCTTTAAGTCTAGGCCAATAAAAGTAAGATCTAATTCTATAATAAGTAGCTTGACTTCCAGAATGATCCCTATGAGGTGAGTCATGTAATGTCTGAAGAATCTGTAGCCTCTCCAATATAAACTCTATCCTTATATCGAAGGATTCCCTTTGAATATCTCCACTTAATATCAGCAGTAAAATGAACAGTCAATTTAGTGATTCAATCAGTAGCCAATAAATCTTCCTTATAACTAGCCTCCACCTCCTGCACCCAGCTAGGAATAATTATAGTTGTGCCCATAGCCAAACAATGTCCCTGATCCTCCCATTGTCTAGATAATGCATCTGCCACCACATTGGATTTCCCTTTTCTGTATTGGATGGTATAATCCAAACCCAAAAGCTTGGCCAATCCTTTCTTTTGAATTGTAGTGGTCAACTTCTGCTCCAAAAGTTCTATAAAAAAAACTAATGCTCCAAAAGATACTTTAGAGGTTCATGATTAGTCTTAATGACAAAAGGATTACCCTCTAAGTAATGTCTCCATTTAGATATTACCAAAAGAATAGCTAAATACTTTCTTTCATAAATAGAGAGTAGAATTTCTAGGACTGAGGGCTTTACTAAGAAATGCAATAGGTCTACCATTTTGGGATAGAACAGCCCCTATACCTCCTGAGCTTGCATCTGTCTCTAAATAGTAATTATGATTAAAATCTGGAAGAGCTAAAACAGGAGCAGTGCACATGGCTCTTTTAAGATCTTCAAAAGCAATCAAAGCTGTAGTAGTCCACTTAAAATTGTCTGCTTTAAGCATTTGTGTCAGTGGCCTGCTTATAGCACCATAATCTTTAATAAATCTCCTATAATAGTATGTTAATCCCAAAAATCCCCTCAAAGACTTCAAAGATTTAGGAAGAGGCCAATTCTTCATTGCTTCCACTTTACTAGGGTCAGTAGCAACCCCTGCTGCTGAAATAATATGTCCCAAGTATTCCACTTGGGTATGTCCAAAAAAAACATTTGGAGAACTTTGCAAATAATTGATTAGCTTGTAACACCTCTAAAACTTTTTGCAAATGAGCAAAAGGAGCTGCCATAGAACTGTTGTAGACTAAAATGTCATCAAAAAACACCAACACAAATTTTCTAAGGAATGAACTAAATAATTCATTCATTAATGCCTGAAAAGTAGTTGGGGCATTAGTAAGCCAAAAGGCATTACCTTAAATTCATAGTGGCCTTGATGAGTTCTAATTGCAGTTTTGTGAATATCTGCATCCTTAATTCTGATTTGCCAATACCCTGATCTGAGATTAATCTTTGAAAAGTAAACAGCACCATGTAATTCATCTAGTAAGTCCTCCACAACAGGAATAGGGAACTTATCCTTAATAGTCATGTTGTTTAGTTGCCTATAATCCACACAGAACCTCCAAGATCCATCTTTCTTTTTAATTAGGAGGCATGGAGAGGCAAACGGACTCCTACTAGGCAGAATAATAGAAGAAGATAACATAGTAGCAATTTGCTTCTCCACTTCAGCCTTCTGGTTATGTGGAAATCTGTAGGGCCTGAGATTGACAGGAATTGAATCAGGTTTAAGAGGAATACCATGGTCATTCTTACTGGTGGAAGACCTTTTGGCTCCTCAAAAATAGCCCTGTATTTTTCTAGGAGAGACTGAATAGTTGCAGGAATAGGTTTAGAGGCTTCTGTCATAGATAATAATACATGTCCCAAAATAACAGAATCTGAAGCTGTCATTTTCAATAAAGAAGCTCCTGAAATTTGCTGCAAAAAATGAGATGGTTGTTAACCATGTATAACAATTTGTTCATCTTGGTGAACAAAACTGAGTCATTTTGTTGAAATCCATCAAGATTGGACTGAATAGTTTCATCCAATCTACTCCCAATACCATATCACTCCCTCTCAACTGTAAAAGTATAAAATCATGAACAAAAGAGTGTCCTTGCATTTGCCATTCAACTTTATTACACCTTACTGAACTATAGAGTTGTTGACCATTAGCCACTGTAATAGCCAAAGGGTAAGGTGCATTCACCTGTATACCAGCCTCAGCCCACTGTGGTGTTAAAAAATTGTGGGTACTACCACTGTCAATTAGAATATTCAATGGTTTGCCTTGGATACTGCCCTGAATTCTTAGTGTATTATGTCCAATACACCCAGTGATAGCATTCATAGATATTTTTAGGCTCTCTTCCTCCTGTAGGGCTGGCTGTTCTGAATCAGTAGGTAGTGTATCTGAAGGTAGAATAGTTTCCTCTCCAATCATCATGTCCAATTGTTTTGTTTTACACTGATTGCCTGGAACAAATTTCTCACCACACTTAAAGCACATATTATTTTATCTTCTGTACTCTATTAGATTTTGTTTTTATGGCAAAGTGGGTAAACTCTTTTGTGGAAATGGTCACTGAGTTGGTTTAGGAATAGGTAGGGAATTTGGGTAGGGTGGGTTTCTAAAAACTGGCCTCATTCTTTTACTTTCAAATTCAACAGACAATTCATACAGTTTAGCTTGCATGTATGCTTCAGATAATGTCTTAGGGTCTAGGGCCTTGACTCTATGTTTAATATCATCTCTTAATCCACTAATAAACAGAGAGACAAAGAATTCCTCACCTAGAGTAGGATTCTGTAAAAGCATATGAGGCTGTAGTTCTTCAAATCTGTCCTGATACTCCTCTACAGATCCTTTCTGTACCAACTTTGTAAACTCTTCCACTATATCAAAAAAGACCTTATCACAGAACCTATGACATAGGTCTGCCTCAAACTCATGCCATGTAACATGATATTTTTGCATGATGTAGCCATCAAACCAAATTTCTGCTTTACCTGTTAAGCACATTGTAGCTACTTCTACTCTTTGCTCCTCAGCAATACTACATAATGAACAATACTTAAGGCATTTATGTATCCAACCTCTTGGATTACTACCTTCAAAAAAAGGTAACTCGATTTTAGGCCTGTGCAACATAATCTCTGAAGTATTACAAGACCCCCCTTTACCTCTTCTATCCATATACAAAGGACACAGCTGCTGGAGAAAAAAAAATGTAGAATCCACGAAAGAATTGAGTTAAAGAGAAACAAAATAATAGATTACGACACAAGGAAAGAGAAGAGAACAAAATACGGAAAGTTATATCTCTGCCAGTTATTTACACACATTGGCAATATATCACCGAACGATAACAGATTAGACAAATTTTACATGCGACTAACATCAAAAAGATGAAGTTCACATACAAAGTACAGACTTATGCATGGGAAATTTAGCTAGTTGGGTTTCATAAAAGGAAAATATAACTAGAAGGATCAATTGTATGCATCTGAGGAATAACAAAATGGATGAAAATATAACTAAACAAACACGAGAGAAAATAATTTAGAAAGATTATGCAAATGTTATAGATTGAAGAGAAATAGAGAAGAATTCGAAAGAAAGATGAGAAAATAGGAGAGAATTCAGAGAGAAGAAAGTTCATCCATTCATTTCATAACCATTTCTGTTTTTACATAGCCATTTTATTTACATACACTCATAATAGAATCTGTTATGCCAGCTGGACGTCCTTACTAACCAATTCTGTTATCATAACAAGAATTGGGCTTCATCTGGGCTTCCTGTGCTCCACCCGTATCTGCTGGACCATCCTTCTGGATCTGCTGGGTGATTGTTTTAATTCCCCCCGTGCTCCTCACGTGCTCTTCCCTCAGGTAATTACTTCCCAATTCAATCTCAATCCCTAATCCTTGAATATTCATTTCCCCCAATTCTCCCAATCCTTCCTCGATACTCATCCTTCGTCCTCCCTCTTCTCCCTCTCGTCTTCCCTCTCCAACCGTGACAGCAAATGATTTAGAAAGATTATGCAAATGAAATGACAAATGGGAGCAGTCAGAAAACAATTGCACAAGTCAGGGAGCACGAGGCATGACATGGAGGACAATTGGCAGCTCGAGCAACAGAAAGAGGCACACAAATAAACTGGTGAAAGCACCATAAATTTAAAGAACACCTTCTGTTTAATCCTCTGGGCTGCAGCAGGATCTTTTTTGTTCATTATCTCATAGGAAACAAGAATAACATCCTTCAATGGACGAGGTGTCTCTTCAACTTTCCCAGCAAGAAACATGCACACAGTAGCAATGGTCTGTGAAGCATGGAAATGAATTTAAGAATGTGACATAAAAATTGTTACGAGCCAATCATCTTTCTTAACAGAAGTCTACATCAAAAATACGATGATAGGTTAAGTTGACCAAAGGAACTATGTTTACAAGATTGAATTATAACACTTCTCACAGCTTTCACACCTCAACCATTCCGGTTTGCAATCATCATAATTCATATGTCACCCAAAAGAAATGCTAACTGAATAAAAGTTCAAAATGAAACATAAAATGCTAACTGAATAAAAGTTCAAAATGAAACATAAGAGAAAGTCAGCTTAGATTTCTAAAGGAAATCTATACCATCCAGATTACAAATATTTACCTCAAAGAAGTTTTAACAAGATTCACCAGAGAACGAGAATGATAACTCACCCTTCTATCATTCTTCACGTGTGATTGTCGAATGAAGAACCGGTGACAAAAGATTATTGCTGTGGCTATTGTTACCTGGGGCCTGTATCAGATAATAAATTTAGACAAATTCATTCCATCAGGTCAAAAAAATATCAAGGTGCTTATGATGAATACCCATGATGTCAGAACTGTGGAACTTATTGTGATCAGACAACAGAATGCCAAAACAACTCCTTTGACCCACAAGATTGTAGAAAGTAAAAGAACAACATGACACACTCTCATGGTTTGACAAATTGTTGAAAAACTAGGCAGTCACAAAAGAAAAGCACTGCCCAACTGACACCCATTGTTTGTTGATGTAGAGCACTTTTACCAATAATATAATGCCAAAATCATGCAAAGAATGATATATGATATTCACGCACAGTGTGCTTACAAACTTATATGCAGTATCTTTTGCTAGAGATAGGAGCACATGAGTATCAAAATAAGGCAAATAACTACAGAATGACAGACTGACAAAACACAGACATGCAAGAGTGCCAATGTGCTAACACAAGATAATCTCCAGCATCAGTCTACTTGCAAATAACTACCTATCAATATTTTGTCACTATAGCAGGCAACAGAGATCCAGGATAAGCTCACGAAAAAGGCATTATCAAAACAGAAAATGTTTCCTAAAAGTATTGGTGATAGCAGCTATGACTACTATTGACAGGGAAATGAAGATACTTCGTCATTTTGAAACCATACTGCTAATATTCAGATTGATCATTCTGTTACAGAATTATGCCTAGGTGATTTTAAATTGAATATTCGACAGAGATACCAGCACTAAAACAGTTAGGAATCTGCATTACATAATCTCTCAACATTTTAACATTATGATTTAACCATGCTAAATACACCAATTTAAGAACTTTCTGCCTAAAATAAAACTCAACAGTTACTCCTGTTTTTCATGCTATAAATTTTACGCAAATTGATCACAAGTGGAACAGACACACATGCCCGCATTCACCCACACAACTACATACACACAAAATTACATTAACTTCCATTTCTATTTTAAACGACACTCCATGATAAGAAAGGCTACTAATGAAACACTATTCAAGTTCAATAGCATAAATCAGGCATTTGCAGCATCCAACAAGAAAAGTATTGTGTCTGAATGTAAATCATGAACTTACACTTTCAGCCTCATGCCCAAATCTTGCAAAAATGTACAGTCTGACTTGCGCAAGTAGGTATCTTTCTTTAAGTCAATACCATCCATTCTTGATGAGCAATTTTCTTCTATTTCTTTTCTTGAAAAATACCAACGACCTACTTCCTCTTGCTTTTCTTGAGAACTTCTAGAAGGCCCACTATCAGATGTTGAATGATGTGAGGAATCCCCAGGTAACATCCCTTCCATATATATATATATATATCTCCGAATACTAATACCACAGGCAAAAGACAACTCCTTATAGGACCAAGACTTTATTTCTTCATAACCAGCTGTTAGTATTGTTCTGATCAGTGATAGAAAAATAATGCGAGTACATGCAGAACAAAAAATGAACTATGTATGATACACCCAAAGGAAAACATTCAACAATTCCCTGATTCCAGTTCCAGTTTAGCCAATCATGAAGTAGCAAGAATGTCATAATGGAACATAAAAAAGTAAAAAAAAAATTATAGACCTTCTGGGACCAAAATATAGAAAGCCTAGGATTGCAGCAAAGCTAAGGAAAGGAAAGAGGAAATATAGAAAGCCTAGGTCACGAAGAAAAACTAGGAATTGGTTCCAAGTGATAACGGATCGGGGAGTTATTCTACGGTTGGTTCCAAGGAGTGCAAATGCGGAGGCTGATGAAATGGAAAAATTAGGAATTGGTTGATTTATGATTTTTCTGTAATGGGGGGGGGTTTGTATAGTTGGGTGATGTACCGTTTGTAAGTGTTGCTTTTTGTGTTGGTGTACTGAACTAAAAGTTTTAATAATAAATGAGGTATTCTTTTCCTCCTTCCGCTACTTATTTGATATACTTATTAGGTATGTCTGCAAGTATGAAGAGAGTTTTAATGTGACCTCCAATTTTTAACCCAAAAAAAAGAAAAAAGAGAAAAAGAAAGCCTAGGACATTCAGCAATGCCTAATTGCATACTCCACCTCTTCTTGAGATCTTTAACAGTTTCAATTTCAACCTCATAATAATACAACCAAAAACATCCAATTACAAAGAAATTAAGAAGGACCCCTTTCTATTAAAAAAAAAAAGAGGTTGTATAGTTGGGTGATGTACCATTTGTAAGTGTTGCTTTTTGTGTGGGTGTACTGAACTAAAAGTTTTAATAATAAATGAGGTACTCTTTTCCTCCTTCCGATACTTGTTTGATATACTTATTAGGTATGTTTGCAAGTATGAAGAGGGTTTTAATGCGACCTTCAATTTTTAACCCAAAAAAAAGAAAAAAGAGAAAAAGAAAGCCTAGGACATTCAGCAATGCCTAATTGCATACTCCACCTCTTCTTGAGATCTTTAACAGTTTCAATTTCAACCTCATAATAATACAACCAAAAACATCCAATTACAAAGAAATTAAGAAGGACCCCTTTCTATTAAAAAAAAAAGATGGACCCCTTCCCCTTGCAATAATTTGAAAATATAGTATTAAGGGTTCCTGCAACAGGGGACGGGAGTTGTTAGGGAACAGATCCTATATTCACGTCTTGGAGCCTGTTTTGTAAACTAAATCTCTTATAAAAGTTTTAGATAAGGTTAGGACCTAATTTTGATATTGAAACACTGAAAAAGCATTTTTAGTGATTCCATCTTATATCTTATGGAATCCCAACATTCTCAATAAATTCCAAGATGAGGATCTTCTGAAGTGAATTAGAAAGACATGCACCAAAAAAAAACTAATATTAAGTATTTCCCACAATAAAGAACACGGGAAAAATCTCACTATCATTACATGGAACTATAGATTGAAAGTGAAAAATATTTTTGACATTTAACTAATGATTATTTTATATCTATATGTATTATGTGTGGCTTATAAGCCTACAAGTTGTAAAGTTAGCAAATGTTAGTCAAACTTGGTAGCCATTGAAGAAGTCAAGTTCAAATTTGTTACCACAACATTAAATTTAAATTGACAAGTGGCTATGATGGACACCAAAGGTTGGCAAGTGGCCAACTTGTGCACATGGGAAAATTCATTTTTGGTCCCTAAACTATTAGGTTATTTATAAGTTTAGTCCTTAAAACTCAACTATAAATAGACCTAAGCACTTCCATTTGAAAAATCCCAAAAAAAGTTCTCTCTCCCATTTGTTTTCTTCATTTTCTCACTTCGTAATATTTTGGGAATTCTAAAGAATTCCATTTGTTAGAATTTTTTGTTGATAGTGAAGTTATCATCCGTTGTGGTGCTTGAGGAGTAGACGATATTTTCGTTGAACCTCAAAAATTCGGTGATTTCTCTCCATTATTTACTTTGTATGTTCATTATTTGGTTTTCTCCATTGTATTTCAATGTTCAATAGTTTGACGGGTTTATCCGCTGTGCAATTTAGATAGTTTTAAGAAGTTAGTTGGTAATTTTCAAGTCAAGGTGGAGATTTGTTATGTGTGGCTTATAAAATTACAAGCCTACAAGTTGTAAAGTCAACAAATGTTGGTCAAACTTAGTAGCCATTGAAAAAGTCAAGTTCGAATTCGTTACCACAACATTAAATTCAAGTTGACAAGTTGATCACTTGCCAACCTTTGGTGTCTATCATAGCCACTTGTCAACTTGAATTTAATGTTGTGATAACGAATTCGAACTTGACTTCTTCAATGGCTACTAAGTTTGACCAACATTTGTTGACTTTACAACTTGTAGGCTTGTAATTTTACAAGCCACACATAACAAATCTCTACCTTGACTTGAAAATTACCTACTCAACTTCTTAAAACTACTTAAATTGCACGGCGGACAAACAAGTTAAAATATTGAACATTGAAATACAATGAGAAAATCAAATAATGAACATACAAAGTAAATAATCGAGAAAACACACCAAATTTATGAGGTTCAACGAAAATATTGTCTACTCTTCGGACACCACAACAGATGATAACTTCAGTATCAACAAAATATTAAAACAAATGGAATTCTAAAGAATTCTAAAAATATTACAAAGTGAGAGAATGAAGAAAACAAATGGGAGATGAGAATTTTTTTATAGCAATTTAAGTAGTTTTAATTTTGATATTTCATATCAATTTTGAAACTAATTTCGTGTGGGAAATAACCCAGTTTCCCAACAATATATATATCCATCAGTTCGGAAAATCACATGCTCCTATTTTGGAAAGAATAGTTTCATTAAAAGTAGTACGGTGAATTCCTAAAAAAATAGAGAGAATCGTACAAACCACATGAAAGATAGGATTTTTTAAAAGCAAAATATAGGGAAATCTATAACTGATCAACAATTTTGCTTAAAAACGTAATATTTATCAGTTAACATTTGCAGCAAAACTAAGGAAAGGAAGAAAAACACGCTCCAAAAAACCTAGGTCACGAAGAAGCCACTCGAAAGAGAACCAAATTCAAGGACTGCGATTTCAGAATTACTAAATTCGGATGCCGAATGCTTGGAGCTTAAAATTCCTCGAAAGCTCGATCCGAAACCCTTTTCGCTCTCGAATGAACAAAAATCTATTTACTTTTATTCTTGGTTCTCTAGTTTTCTCTAAATATAATGAAGAGAATAAGAAGAAAAAAAAGAGGCAAAGAGTTAAAATCTAATAAATTAGAGAAACAAACTGACCTGACGGAGGCTGAGGCTGAAGCCGGCCCCTTGTTGCTCTTTTACAGCTGGCTTCTTCGTTATTCGTCTTCCTTTTCTTTATTTTTTATTTTCTGCATGTGAAAATGGTCAAAATATTGAAGCCGTTGTTACATTAAAAAATTAGAAGTTTATATGTTCATGGCTTATATTATAAATAAATACCTAAAATATATTATTTTTAATTTAAATATTTAAATTATCATTTTATTAAAATGATTATTTAAATTTTTGTTTTTTTGTCTAAATAAATATTTAAAGTATTTTTTTTATTAAAATAGGTACTTAAAATATTCATTTTCTTCATTTAAGTTCTAAAAATTGGCGTGTCATATTAATATTAATTAAAGAATAAAGATGAAATGAGTTGAATATTTTAAGTATCTATTTTAATTAAAAATTATTTTAGGTATCTATTTTGACAAAAAAAAAATTAAGTAGTTATTTTAACTAAAAAAATACTTTAAGTACTTAAATAAAAATGTGATATATCTTAAATACTTATTTGTGAAATAAACTTATATTCACTTAACGTCTTTATAAATTTACATCATTATCCTCCTTTTCTTATAATATAAAGAATGATGAATGACATGAATCAAATGACTTTAGTGTTAAAGAATTTGTTATTATTCTTTAAGTTTTCGAGTTCGAACGCCATAAATGTTATAGGTATAAGATTATAATGTCAAATAATTGAAAGTTATTTTTAAATAAATAATACCTTATACTTTACCATATTAATAAAAAAAAATGTTGAATGCCCTTGGAATTTTTTTTCTGTTTGCAGTTTACCCCACCATTAATGATGTACAAATTCAATTCCTTTCTAGTTGATCCAATAAGCATTGTAATCAGTTTGTAATGATAATTTACATTATATTTTACACGCATCCATTGTTTTTAAAGTAATAAAAAAATAAAAAAAATACTTTGACAATGATTTATAATAACTGTTAAATAAATGTATACGTTATGTGAGAAAAAGAAAGAACCCTAATAACAGGAACCAGAACAAAATGGAGATCTAAAGATGCTGAGAAAAAAAATTCTCTAGCCAGCAAGCAAATTCAACATTCAAAAGGAAAAAGAACCAGGCATGGCTATTTCCAGTCCGGTCCACGAAGGAGGCAACTATTTGCAGGTCATGCCAGAGTTGCCCTCTTGCCTTTTGCATCCCTTGACTGCAAGAAAAAAATTAATTTAATTTTCAGCGGGTGACTACTGCGAGAAGCTGCAAAATATACTTGGTATGCAACTGAGAGACCTGTGCAGCGGCGGATCGCTTTGAATCTAGAAACCGGTTGTAGATTCCATAGTCTCTGTTTTTCGGCTTCTGAAACCGACGGTCTTGCCTTTGAACTTTGAAGCAATAGACTTCAGAACAGCATCGGTTATGACCGGCATTTTATCAGGCTCGTTGCCATTCGCACTGCTCAAATGTTCATGAACTGCAGCGAGCTTTGCATCTGAGAGGAGAGCTTGGAGATCAGCTCCGCTAAATCCTTCTGTGATATACTCTATTGATTGTGAAAAAACGAAGCATTAATACAAAGGAAAGAAAACAAAAACTTTCAATCAAGTTAAATATCTAGTTCCATATGAAGTTGTTAGGTATGCCTTTGTTGAAAAAAAGGCATACGCCCCCCTTTCTGACTTTTGCGTTTAACAATCTCTCACTTGAAGATTGATTTTAATCTTTCTCCACACCTCGATCAATACAGCAACATTTCTAGTCTTGTTATTCTAGCATGCCAACTAAAGCTTAACAATTGTATGTACTTCATTCTGGAATGAAAAGATGAATTCTTCGCTAGATGGATAACACTTTGACTGTCGCAATACGAGACATTGTTTTCTTGTTTCTTGCCTAAC